CCGCTGATTAACAGGTGGCTCAGAGACTGGTGCCATTGGTAGAATTTTGGTTTCTTTGATCATGGGGAGGTTTACATGGCACCGGGCCTGCTGGAGACAGATGGAGTCCAACTGTCTCCAAGAGGAAAAAGAATTCTTGCCCATGAGCTGGCAGGGTTCATTGAGATGGATTTAAACTACGTTCGAAGGGGGAAAGGGACATCACCCAACTCACTAGAGATGAGCCCAGGCATGGCATGCCAGTGTCAGGGGTGAGATCAACAGCCCAGCTCAAGTGTGTCTACACAAAAGCACACTGCATGGGCAATATACAGGTGGAGCTGGAAGCCATTGTACAGCAGGACAGCTATGACTTAGTTGCCATCACAGAAACGCGGTGGGAACGCAGGATGTAGAGAAGGCAGAGTTACTGAATGCATTCTTTGCTTCCCTGGAGGTAAGAGAGGAAGCCTGCAGAAAGGATGACCTTCCCTTGGTTGAGGAGGACTGTGTGAGAGATCACTTATGCAATTTGCATGCTCGATGAATCCATGGGCCCCGATGGAAAGCACCTACGAGTACTGAGGGAGCTGACAGATGTCATTGCAGAGTTGCTCTCCGCCATCTTTGAAGGTCCTGGAGGACAGGAGAGGTGCCCGAGGACTGGAGCAAAGCCAATGTCACTCCAGTCTTCAAAAAGGGCAAGAAGGAGGATCGAGGGAACTACAGACCGGCCAGCCTTACCTCCATCCTGGGAAAGATGATGGAGCAACTCATTGTAGAGATCATCACCAAGTAAGTGGAGGAAAAGAAGGTTATCAGGAGTAGTTCAGCATGGATTCATACAGGGGAAATCATGCTTGACCAATCTGATAGCTTTCTATGATGGCAAGTGGCTGGGTAGAGCGGAACATGAGGAATATCTTCGTCACTTTGAGGGTGACGTAGCACTGGAACAGGTTGCCCAGAAAGGCTGTGAAATCTCCTTCTCGGGAGATATTCAAGACCAGCCTGGACAAGTTCCTGTGCAGCCTGCTTTAGGTGACCCTGCTTTGGCAGGGGTGTTGGAGTAGATGACCCACAGAGGTCCTTTCCAAGCCCTAAGATTCTGTGATTCTGTGATTCTGTGATACTGTGAACGTTTGATATTAACTTTCTAGTATTCTCCCTTCTCTGAGGTAAAGATTGACAAAGTACATTACTTCAGTCTGGAGGCGCAGCTGGTAGAGCATTCAGGAAAGTTGTGGGAAGCAGGGAATTGCTGGCAGGCCTCTGCAGGTCTTGTGGGCACTGACCTTCTGGCTGCCACAGAGCCCAGTTTGATCCAGGTCGGGGGAAACTGGTCCCTCTGCCAAGAGGGTCCCTGAGTGGGCAAAGGCCTGTGCAAAGCAGTGAGGTGGGGGACAGTAAGCTTTCCAATTCTCCCCACAGCTCCATCTGCAGACGGGAATGGTGAGGTGGTGAAGAACAACATGTTTTGATTCTAAATGTTTTGGGGGATGGATGCCACAAAGACGGCATGCGTGTTTGGGGGAAGACAGGGAGGTGGACATTTGGTGAGCAAAACCTGCTGGCACTGAGAGACTTTGATCTTTGGAAATGCAGAGGACTACAGCCACCCCTTGCACAATGCCCTCATGAAAAGGTAAGTTCCTGACGACAGGCTGGTGTAGTGATGCTGACCAGAAGACCGTTGTACATTGAGACGTGAATGATCCACAATCCAGTTAACCTGGGCAGAACCATTGTATCATTTAGGTTGAAAAAGGTCCTCGAGACAACTGAGTGTGACTGTTACCCTAGCACTACGAAGTCCACCGCTTAATTGTGTCACTCAGCACTATGTCCAGGGATGAACTGTGAGGTGGTGGAGCACAACGTGTTTTAATTCAAAATGTTTTGGGCGATGGATGGCACAAAGACAGCATCTATGTTTCTTTGTGGAAGTCTTTTGGGAAGCAACAAGAGGTGAGTATTTAGTGGGTGAAAACTGCTACGAGGGAGAGGACTGACTCTCGAGAAATGCACAGAACAACAGCTGCCCCTGTTTCCTAGGCCTTGATAAAAAAGCAAGTTCCTGAGGACAGACTTGTGTAATGATGCTGACCAGAAGACCACCGCACATTGAGAATTTAGTGACCCACAGTCCAGTTAATCCAGTTAACAGGTCTGTGCTGTGCTGTCCTTTGCTGTGCTACATAAATGCCTGGTCAGCAGGATGAACTTGGCCAGCTCATTGCAGAGCAGCCTACAGGCAGCTCCCACTTGCTACTGGCAAGAAAGGCACCTGAGAGTAAGAAGTCCACATGCGTACTTCTTTTCCTGTGACACTAGAAATAACAAACAGATTTACTTGCTTGCAGGAAAGTGTTATAATGGCTGAACCACTTGGATGGGGGCACTCTTTCTTTTCTGTGACCAGGGTTTGCATGGCACACTGTATGTGGCTGGAATCCTGTGTGAAGCTACTCTGCTCAGGGTTCTCTGCAGCTAAAGGGATGTGTGATTACCTGTGATAATCTCTTCCAGTAGCATGAGCGGTAATAAAGATGGTTGTTAATAACATTTTCGAGAATCAGCGTGTGTCTCTTACTGAGCTGACAAGGAATCAGCCTCTCCCAGTGTAAAACTGCTGCTGCTGGGGTTGTTGCAACTCATGGTTCATGTGTCTGATGCAGTTCATATGTCGAGGGTTTACTATGATTTTACCCTATGAGAAGGGAAGGCTGTTTCTTGTATTGAAGGGTCTGAACCCACTGCTGAGCTTTCCCAAGGGGCTCATCAGAGATGCTGTTTCAGAAGGTTAACTGCTTTAGCTCAGGTAATCAACAGCCCAATGAAAGGAGACACAGTTCTGGAGTTCACTAGTTGTTCACTAACTCAAGTGAGCTTTTCAGAGACATCAAGATTGGAGGCAGCCAGTGCTGCAGTGATCATGCACTGATGGAGTTCACAGTTCAAGGGAGGTGATTCTGCCCCTCTACTCTGCTTTAGTGTGACTTCACCTGGAGTCCTGCATCCAGTTCAAAAGAAAAAAAAAATGCCCGAGGGGGGGGGGCGAGAGGGGAGCCACAAAAATGATCAGAGGAATGGAACACCTCTCCTTTGGGGACAAGCGAAGAAAGTTGTGGTTATTTAGCCTGAAGAAGAGCAGGCTTCAGGTAGACTTATTGTGGCCTTTCAATACTTAAAGGGGGCTTATAAGATGGGGACAGGCTTTTTAACAGTGTATGTAGCGATAGGACAAGGGGTAATGGCTTTAAACTAAAAGAGGGTATATTACAACTAGATACGAGCAATTATTTTATGATGTGGGTGGTGAAACACTGGAACAGGCATCCCAGAGAAGTGGTAGATGACTCAAACCTGGAAACTTTCAAAGTCAGGCTGGAAGGGGCTCGAAGTCACCTGATGTGGTTAAGATATCCATGCTTGTTGTGGAGGGGGGTTGAACTAGATGACCTTTAAAGGTGCTTTCCAACCCAAACCATTCTATGGTTCTACGAAACAACGCAGTGGGAAAGACTTGTCTGAGATCCATGCACGACCCCTGATTCTGTAAGCACTGTTATCGGGGATGATCGCAAGAGCGGGGCTGCGGCAAGCGTTGTTCGCCGAGCACGAGTGGACGG